CTGGGCCAGAAAAGCTGAAGCTTATGTGGAAGCATCCTGGTATAGTGTAGATTCTAAATTGTTCAAATCATGACCCCCAGGGGAAGGGCGGGGCCACAATGGGGTATCAAAGTTTTACATAGAAATATATAGGAAAAATCTTTGAAAATCTTCTTCTAAAGAACCACTGGGCCAGAAAAGCTGAAACTTATGTGGAAGCATCCTGGTATAGTGTAGATTCTAAATTGTTCAAATAATGACACCCGGGGGAAGGGCGGGGCCACAACGGGGAATCAAAGTTTTATATAGAATTATATAGGAAAAATCTTTGAAAATTTTCTTCTCAAGAACCACTGGGCCAGAAAAAGTGAAGCTTATTTGGAAGCATTCTGGGGTAGTGTAAATTCTGAATTGTAGGAATCATGACCCCCGGGGGAAGGGCGGGGCCATTATAGGGAATCAAAGTTTTACATAGAAATATATAGGAACAGTCTTTGAAAATCTTCTTCTCAGGAACCACTGGGCCAGAAAAGCTGAAACATATGTGCCCATGGAAGGATCATGGGGTAGTGTAGATTTCAAAATGTCTAAATTATGATCAGTGGGGTAGGGTGGGGATGCATTATGTATAACAAGGGTGAAATCTGGTAAAGAACAGAATGGTCAAAGCTTCTCAGGTGAGCGATGTGGCCCATGCGCCTCTTGTTTGACAAAATCCTTTGAAATTTTGAACATAGCCATGCATTAGAATATTCTACAAAATGATATATAGCAAATATCATGAAATCACGTGCATGCACGTGCGCTGCAATCTGATTGGCTGAAATTTTAAATAGCTATAACTCCCTTGGTTTTCAACCAAACAGGATGGAATTTGGAACATAGATATATATAACAGACTTCTACAAGAAGGTATGGTCACCATGCACATGCATACACGTGCGTGTACGAATGCTGCAATCTGATTGGCTGAAACTTTAAACAGCTATAACTCCCTTGTTTTTCAACCAAACAGGTTGGGATTTGGAACAAAGATATATATAATGGACTTCTATAAGAAGGTATGGTCACCCTGCACATACATACACGTGCGTGTACGTGCGCTGCAATCTGATTGGCTGAAACTTTAAACAGCTGTAACTCCCTTGGTTTTCAACCAAACAGGGTGCACGTGGGATTTAGAACATAGATAGATGTAATGGACTTCTACAAGAAGGTACAGTCACCATGCTCATGTATGCACCTGCGTGCACGTGAAATGGGTAAAATCAAAACTACACTTGAATGATCGTTTTTTTTTTTACTTTTGGATTAAGTACTTTAATATTTAGCATATTAAAATATATAGATTGTGTAGAGAATATGATATGGTCATTACGTATATGCATTAACATGCGCAATTGTGCAATGATAAAATTTGAATGAACATGGTACAATTCTAGGTAAACGTTGTTAAAGTCTCAAATGCATAAAGTTTGTCTTATTTAATTACGCTTACAGGGAATATGACTATTAAAGGGAGTTGGGGAGCGTTTGGGGAACATCTGTAACGGTCCCCGTTACAATTAGCACTAGTTAACATTTTGGTTTTCTTTCATATCCGAAATTTCTTCTTTTTTATTTTTTAAACTTTAAAATAGTACTTGTTGAAATTCAAAATATCTAGAGGTTTTGTGATAGTGTTAACTGTTTAATATTTACATTTGCAAATGTTTTCCTTTATATAACACTACTGAAAGCAATGCGTATCTATAACTGTATAAATACAGGTACGGGGTCAAGAGGTCATAGATGTGCATATAGATAATCGTTCGACGTAATTTCTCAGTGACGTCATAAAGGGTCGACGCGCATTCAGTGGATAACATACATGCCGTTGGGTTTGAAAAATAATGCATTTATCACGTTAAAAGTCACAATCATGTAAATATAAAGTATGAATAAGTCACAAATGTAAATATAAGTAATAAGGTATCATTTTTAAACATCTATCGGGCTATAAATACGGGTTTGTACGAGATTAAATTCATCATAAAGCCCTTCGGGCTTTATGGAATTTAATCTCGTGACCAACCCGTATTTATATCCCTATAGATGTTTAAAAATGATACCTTATTTCTTAATAAAAATCTATGCCCACTAACTAAAGATTAATTGAAATTTTCTTTCAAAAGTATAGATGGCAATTTCAAAAAATCTGGAGATTTTCCGATAGTGTTTATATTATTTTCGGTCTGTAGTTTGAGGTGAATTAATTGTATTTGATGTTTAGAAAAAGCATTTTTGCACATGGTAGCAAAATCTAATTCTTGACAAATCTATTTTGTCTCACATACGATATCAATGTCATGTTCTCGTTATCAACTTTATGGTTAGATCTCAAGATCAAGTGCAAGTATGTGTTCTTTGAATTTATTATGCTTAACTCTGCCTAATTTCAGTGTTGTGATTAATGTCATACAGATTCCCCATGTTCATGCAATTTTCTATCTTAATTTAATTGCCTGGACAGTACAAAAGAGGGTTGAGATGTAACAACCTCTAAAATTCAGTCTCTTCTAATTTGCACTTGGGAAATTAATTTTTTGGACTTGTAATAAATTCTTAACTTGAAAACTGTTTTACATTTGTTATCATTTGGTATCAATCTTACAGGTCACTTGTTTCTAACAACACTGTGCAGTGTATTTATGCCCTGATCACATGGAGAGTTTAATTCGAATTAAACGTAAGTTTACTGCGAATTAGCTTTGCTTAGCGTTCACACGGAGAATTTAATGCGAATTAGTATAATTCGAATTAATTTAGTGCGCATTAAATTACTTTGCATTAAATCCGTGTGAACGCTAAGCTAATTCAAATTAAATTTTGACGCATGCGTAAGGCCAGAAGTAGGTCACAGGACACATGCTAGAGGTTAGATATAAGTGTCTGTGCTATATTTGGTTCAAAAATCAAGGAAACGTAAGCATGCGTAAGGCCAGAAATAGGTCACAGGACACATGCTAGAGATTAGATATAGGTGTCTGTACACATGCTAGAGGTTAGATATAGGTGTCTGTGCTATATTTGGTTCAAAAATCAAGGAAACATATGTTAATCACGAAATGTATACCTTTAACAACTATGATTATGATAATTATCAATTCGATGGCTCTGTATACATGACGTGATTTACAAATGACGTCATAATAGCCTTACTGGTGCCTGACTGAAGAGGTAAAATGATTCGCATTAGTTTACTTCGCATTAGCTTTCGTGTGAACGCAATTTAATTCGCATTATTTTAATTTGCATTAGTTTACTTCGCATTAATTTACTGCGAATTAAACTCTCCGTGTGAACAAGGCATTAGATTCACTGCATGTTAAAGAGACCCTACATGTATTACAGAAAACAAATAATTTATTCGATTTTTTTTTGCCATAAAATATATACATATCAAAGTATTCACAAAGTGTTTACAAAAAGTGGAATTTTTAAGATCATATTGATAAATAATAAAATTCATAGTTTTGGTTGATGACAGAATTGTGCATTTGTTTAAAATATTATAGGAAAACATTTGAATTCTTAAAAATAAATACTACATGTACTACGTGTATATGAAAGTAGACATAAATTATTCTTATAAATATTGTACTTATTATAAATATATTTTTTTTTTTGCATAATTATACAGAATGTATTGGATCAAGATATATTTTAAAATACTCTTACAAATCAAAACAAACTAATGTACAGTCATGTGCAAATACAGTGCTAACAATTATGTTAAAAACATGCGACTTATTGCCCCTTTTGAGGTCAATATGGTGAAATGAGGACCTGAGAAATGGTCAAATGTTGTGTTGTTATATGAACATATAAAACATGGAAATATAATACAATCATGAATATATGAAACAAAACAAATGGTAAATGTAAATCAGCTGTAAAGTCCCTGAATTCATTTTGATGCTGTTGCGCAGAGTAAAAAAAAAGTGAACCCCGATCAAATATCACAAAACTTGAAGCACACTTCAAATAGATTTTCTATGTATTTATTTTATTCATAACAACAATATTAAAATAACTATTTTAATCATCGCTATATTACCTGTTCCTCAAATATCGTTACAATGTATGCCTTAATTGACCCCCCCCCCCCCCAAAAAAAATATTGATATTGCCTGTGAATGCAAAGATTAGAGCGTCTGCTCTGTAGACGCTCCAGACTAGATTTTCTTATAAGCAGATGTCTTGTGCCGCAGTAGATGATCCCGTACTGTTTAATGGCCCTGGCTGAGAGCCTATTTTAGCCTTCTAAAGGCGATCGAGTGGTGGCGTCTCCATATGAGAGAAAAAAATCTCGAGATGGACATTAAACAGCAAACAAACAATCGATAAAACACACCATACTTAAAACTCTTGAAAAGTACCGGTAATGAGAGGTGATGTGTCAAAATGCGTATAGAAACGCACACATAAACCATTTTAATCTGAAACATTCAATTAAGGCTATTTAACAAAATGACACAAAACAACACAATATGTACATGGCGTAGGAAACATTTTTAAAAAAATGCATCGAATAACTTGAAAAAAGAGATTCAATGACTCCAAGAAGGGGATCTGCAATTTACCCCACCTCTGTTGATTTTTCCGTGAAATCCTGGCTTACGATTGGTTGAAATCTGTCACGTGAAGGCGGTGGATTACTTATACCCGGTCAGTTGTAAATCCATACCCGGTTAGTAGAAATCTATACCCGGTCACAAACACAAACGTGACGTCATAATAGGCACAGTATAAGCGCGATAAAGCATTTAGCAGAGAAAACCATTTATAAACTACAGATAAAACGTAAATGTTACATCGGTGGGGTAAATTCGTTACATAGTCTTTTAGTGACAGAGTACGGGATGAAATTAAATTTCATACCTGACTCGGCTCCGCCTCGCCAGTTTTGACATTTACTAACCAGGTATCATATGCATCCTGTACCCTGTCACTAAAAGACTATGTAACTAATAATACACCACCAATCAATTAAAGACATGAAATAATTTTTAAATCATCGACCTTCCAACAAATAGATTACCAGGATGCTTCTTTCCGGTTTCCTGTTTTCTAATGAAAATTAAATTGATGTTTATGATCCTTATTTGTTGGTTAACTTTTTTATTAATACGTTCACGTACTGAGTACCACTTACATGTACTTATTGACTCGCCAATTTAGATTAAATCCTCGAAAAGCTTGAATATGCAACTATAAAGATAGCTTCAAAAACTACATGTAGTATTGGAGAACGGAACATTTTTCTTTTTCAGCTGCATTGAAAATTAAGGGATGAAAAATCTTATTTTTGTTAACCTCTAAAAGGTTTCTCTGTTTATGTAGGATTCGTAGATCTTTCCACTTTCATTTATGGAGTTACCCATGTTTCTTTTTGGCTCTGTTGTATCAAGTCTTGTTAACCCTCTATCATTCTGGTCAGTCTTCATAACAACAGTAAAGTTCCTATCTTCAGTGTCCATGTTGATGGTCACATTGGCTGTTCCATTGAACACAGCTTCATTATGCAAAGGTTGATAGTTTTGGTATCCAAGTTTTTGTCCCTCCGCTATGTTGCTCGGCCATGTAACCTTTGAGGTTTCTCCTGGCGCCATCACAGCTTTTGGTTTTTTGCAGCTTCTTTTGGTAATATACAGCAATACTACAGCAAATGTTGAAATGGAAAACGCTACAGACAATATTTGCCATGGGATGCCTTGCGTTTTTTCTCCTGAAATTTGGGAATTTGCTTTTGAGACCGATTCCATAGATACATTCTCACTTCTTTGATTCAGTCTTTGCATCTCTGGTACCCTTATCGGCGTAGGAATTTCTATGAAAATTTATCATTTGCAACCAATTGATTTTTCATACATGGCATAACATACAATATCTTCCATTTACTTATAGAAAGACAAAGTTTATTCTTTACATATTTAATTATGATGCTAGTCATCAGACACCGTTATTCTAAAAAGAATATTTTGTAAATAAAAAAAATTATGCTACCAAATGAAAGCGTTGTATCCATATAATAGTATATAATATATCAATATATAAATAAACTGTACATGTACCTGTTGTTGATACAGGGCAACCAAAAGATACATTGCATCGAGACACCTCACATTCTGTACACAGGTTGGAGCATCCCTCTCCGTAACGACCAGGACTGCAATGTCTTGTACAGTTATTACCAAAGTATCCAGGTAGACACCCTGAAATATGTATAGTTATGCCTAAAGAATTACTCAGTAAGGATTAAGATTCACATTTAAAAAAATAATCTGAATCGATTTGTATGTTTTGTTTTTCAGCAACTCGTTGAGGGTAAATGTCATACTAGTATATCTTTTTTCAGCGTTTGAATGTATGATTTTCTCAGGCATGTAATGTATTTTATTCCAAATCAATCTTCACTCAGATTCTATTTAAAAGTGTATTCACTGATATTTTTAGACGATATTTTCCCCCATACAATCATAGATAAAATGCAAATTGTATAAATGTTAAAATACAAGCAGATTCAAAGATTTGTCTTCCTCCTCTTTTGGTATTTTATTTTATTGAAAATTAATCAAGCATCAATGTGATCAAAACAGATTTATTGATTGTATATTGTTTAATAGCCCTCTCGAGAATTTTTCTTCAAATAGAGACGCCATCACTTGCCGGTGCAGAGCTGCAAATTTTGTCCTTTACTTGGCACTCTTGGCCATTAAGCAGGGAGGGATCTTTTTCGTGCCAGTACCAACTACAACACAGGGCCTCAATCTATATGGTCTTACGCGAAGGACCGGTCTCCATATCACACAGTGGAATTCGAACTCGCGACGTAATGATCAACTCCTTACTTCGTAAGTCGCAACTCTAGAGCAGACGTTCTAAGCACTGCGTCACCCGCGCGACTCAAAGTCAAGGTTAAGCAGTCAAAAATCATTTGATATTATACGAGGGGTGATCAAAAAGTTCGCGAACTATCTCTATATCTACAAAACCACAATTCAGATTAGAATGAAATTCGACACCCACGTAGCCATACACAAGGTCTATAAATAGCCTTTGCCAAATAAAGTTTTTCTCCTTGTTTGTGACGTCACAATGTGAAAATGACGTCACTATGTAGGCCACTTGTGACGAAAAATGGTTCTCTCGAACTCGTTCAACAAAAGACTGTACACTTTATTGTATATCTTAAAAATCACTCTGCGGTATTATATAATAATTTGTACACAGTTTATTAAGATAAATGAATTTCTATCAATTCAATTAATGATTGGATTGATCGTTTCAGTGAAGGAAGGCAGATGGTTAAATATGATACTTGATATCTTGCCCAGTGAAAGCAAGTTTGAAAAGATATGTGTTTTTAATTAAGCAATTTGCTATCAAAGACCTCCAATTTACACTTTGAAAAATAGTTGAATGTAATAAAATTATTAAATACCTAAGATATCGTTTACTTTAGATTTTAAACATGATAGATATGATTAAAAGGAGGCATATTCTCTATCCACCTTGAATAAAGGTCTCTCCCGAGACAGACGATTTGTGTTTTAATGGTCACCATGCTTATTTTTGGAAAGGATATTCTTATCCACCCATTCTGTTGCCAAGATTTGACCATTTCTGACAAATGAACTGTTCTTGTCATGAAAATTAACGCACATGGAAAGAAATATAAAACTCAGAAAAATCTTTCAACTTTTATGACAGAACGCTACGAAAGGGGGTCACGTGACCGCCAATATCACGTGATTTGCGCATGCGCAGAACGGTGGTTGATGTGCGTTAAAATCGGAGGATTAATTTAATTTAAAATATGATCAACATTGAAACCAAATATTGTTTCTTTTATGGAAGTTATTTAATTAGTTCCCGAACTTTTTGATCACCCCTCCTATATGTAGAAACGCCTTGTCAGAAATGATAATTTACATGTACGAGGGTTGTTAGAAAAGTTCTTTTGTGAGCGCGCTATTTCCATGACATCAGTTAAAATAAACCCTCCAGATAAAAATCCTTTTTCTAATAAATATACATGTACAAAGATTTGGTGTTTGGGGGGTGTTTGGTGAAAATAAAAAAATATATATACAGCTATATTATTTTGATTAAACATGCTTCACGGATCATACTATTTTTTGAACGTTTATATTACATAGACTTTTTAATGAAATTAAAAAAATGCACAGTTGTAGCGCAAAAAAAATTATGAGATTTTACCTGCCGCTACAGTATTCATGAAACGTCACTTGGTGAAATTTTGAATTGAATTGGATGATGTATGAATGTTTCCAACCATTTATATAATAATCAACGCATATATAGAATTAATCGTCATTGAACGTCATGGAGCACTGAGCTATTAGAATTTATGTGTGTAGACAGGAAAAAGTCAAAATATAAACTACAATGCTTCTAGATGTTGCTAGAAATTGTCTACAGGTATAAAAGACAATAATATTCAATTGGTAGTAGCTACATAAGAATTAATGGAAGGGTTAACATTTTTTATATCAACTTTCATGCGATACCTCAGGAACCCAAATTATCGCATGCAATTCGTGGAAGTTGCTTCTCGGGATTTTATATTGTTTCCAAACCTGGTCATGATCGCTTAACTGCGTAGACGTTCATTTTAAGATCTGGCTAATATCCGAGCAACACTTAAGACATTATAGAAGAAAAGTAACATGTCTCGATCGATATTGATATTTAATTTTTAAGTAGAAAATAGACAAGAAAAGTCAAAGAGATATAAGATATTTATAACTAATGAAAATCTTAACGGGTTTAAGGTTTCGTCAAAGGTCAACATGTCCAAAAATTTATTTTTACAATAGCCCTAAAACTATGTAATGTATAAAGTTAAAACTTTTACAGTTTATAAATTTGTTATTGATTAACAGATAGAAAGTATAACTTGATAAAAAAAAAATACTTGGAATAATATTTCTTGAGAAAAATTCTTCTTAAAAATGCATATATTTTCCAAAAAATACACCTAATTAATTCCGTGCTTTTAGTGAAAACCATCATTGCAGAAACAAAATATGTTTATCAATGAAGGGCAAGTTGGACTTGGATAGCCTCTGGAAAGTTGTTTTCCCTGTTTATTTTGTCCAAATGTTAAGACTTGAAAGTGAAAGTACACTGCAAATGGCGGATTCTATAGGGGTCTTGTCTTTATACATGTCATGCTTTCAATAACAGCCTTTCAGGGACCATTCACGCTCAACTTGCCCTTCAATGATAAACATATATTATTTCTACAATGTTGGTTTTCACAAAAAGGACAGAATTAGCAGGTGCATTTTTCTTTAAATATGCACATTTTCTGATACAATTTTTCTCAAAAAAAAATCTTTAAAAATATGTGTTATCAAGTGATACTTTCTATCTATTAATCAGTGATATATTTAAAAACTGTAAACGTTTTGACTTTATACCACACATAGTTTTGAAGCAATTGTAAAAATAATTTTTTAGACATGTTGACCTTTGACGAAACCTTAAAATCTGGTTGTCGCGTCACTAACGCGAAGTGATTGCTCCGTGAATCTTATGACCGCATAGTAAAATCGTTGTAAATTTTTAACATTTTCGTAAATGGACCTGATATTTTACATACTAATAAACAAAAGATAGGAATTTAATAAGACATAGGTCATACTTCACAGTGCACACTAGATTTTCTGTTAATCAATGAAAAGTAGGTCAAACGTCAAAATTGGAGTAAAAAAGCATTGATATATTTAGAAAGTTCTTGTTACAGACAGACGAATGAAATTTAATGTCCCCTTGCTTTTGCAAAAGTGAGGCAGAATTAAGTTTATTTTTATTGTAAATCCAAATAACAGATTCAAATAAGTACATGTATTCTTACTATTCGAACATTTCTCAAACATGTAAGGATTTTTTTTTCAAATTTGCGTTAAGTTACTCTGATCTTAGGCCAGAAAGAAATGAAACTCGACATTAAATCTTTTCATGTAACTTTTTTTATTTTATACCTCTCAATGTTCTTCAATGCTCTTTGAGGTTCTTATAAGGCCTTTTAAAAAGTTGCAAATTTTACTCCATAAAAGTATTTCAAAATCAAAATAATATATTTAACGAAATTAAAGTTCCTTTAATCTAACCATGGATACCTATGTTTATAAACTTAATATGAAATTAAAAGTGATTTATGGTGTTTTGCAATGATAGGAAAATCCTTATATGCAATGCATTGTAAAATGATCGAAGTTTAAATTCAAGAAACTAATAAATGTATCTTATATGTTAAAAAAATGTTTTATTCAATTCCTGGATACCTACGATTTTTTATTTCTGAAATGTGTTTGTTGTTCAAATTTGAATTGGAAATGTATAGTACATGTAGTTTTTTTTTCGCATTTCTTGAAAATTCATTTGAGATTTACTATTTTCCCCTAATTAATATGAGTAACTTTAAAGGTGTATGAACACGGATTTGAAGTTAATATTTTCTGTCTATATTTCACGACTTGTATATTTCAATAGCATTTCACACAAAAATATATTAAAATTTTTATTTCATCTTAAAGTTATTGAAACTTCAAATTTTTGGGTGGGTTTGATCGATTGACACATCTTCGCACTCTCACAAATTTTACTTTTATTCCTTATACTAAGTAAATGTGGCAATATTGTTGTTAATGAAAAATAATACGACTTTATTCCAGAAAAATTATTATATTCAGAGTAAAAATGTTAGAAAGCAAAATGCCTTCACAAGTATTGTCATTCCAAGCTAAGTGTTGTGTACACAGTTTAGCAAATTGATCACACCCCGTGAAACGTACACAGTTTTTGTAAACAGGGCACGGGCCCTTTTATTGTTGATTTTTACGATTCACCGGGTGCGTTCAATTGTTTAAGTCGGCTCACAATAACTGCACGGACTGACAATATACTGTGTGTATGTTTTGCGTTCGAACATTTCTACTCTAAATTTTCTGGATTATAGTTTTAATATTTTTCATTTATACACAACAAAATTTAAATCTGTGAAAGTGCAAAAGATGTCAATTGTCAAACCCGTCTAAAAGTTTGAAGATTAAATAACTTTTAGATGAACAAAAAAAAATTAATGTATTTTTATGTGAAATGCTGTTAAAATATATAAGTCGTAATATTATACAGAAAATATTAATTTCAAATCCGTGTCCATGCACCTTTAATGATGAAGTTTGAAGAAATATACTGTGTAAAAGCACAAAATTACACTTTAAAATTCCAGAGAGATTTTTATGAACATTTAGTCAACTGATTTTCAGAAACTGAGGATCGGAGTACCTTAAGAAGAAATCTAAAGGACGAATGTCAAGAAGAGTCTGTGTATATACTGTTTATATACAACTAGAAAATAAATAGTATTGGGACTGTTTATATATATGTTATTTTTGTCCCCCGCTTGAAAAGTGGGGGATATTAATTTTGATCTGTCCGTCATTCTGTCTGTCTGTAATGCTTCCGTTACCACACGATATGTCGAGAACCCTTTTAGCTTTCGCTATGAAATTTTGCACAGCAATTTCCTATGGACTAAGGAAGAACCCTATTGATTTTGATGTCAAGAGGTCGAAGGTCAAGGTAATAAATTCGCAAATTCTGTCTGTTATAGCACTTTCGTTTCCGCGCGATTTCTCTAAAAACCTTTTGAGCTTTTGCAATGAAATTTTACATAACAACTCCCTGTGGCCTAAGAAAGACCCCTATTGATTTTGAGGTCAAAAGGTCAAAGTTTAAGGTAATAAATTTACATATTATATATTATAAATATGTGTGTAACACTATCTTTTCCGGGCGATATTTCAAGAGGATTATGAGCTTTTGCAATGTAATTTTATACCAAAACTTCCTAGGACCTCTCTAACCCCTCTCAAAGTGTCCCGCCCCGTTTATTTATTAGTATTTATTGTATTACATGTCGCTATTTTACATGTAGCACAGGGGCATGAGGAGAGATTTTACGTACAAAAGAGGTTCTCGGTAGACTTTATATTCTTATTACATCTATTAGAACTGTTTGATAAAGGTTACATTAGACACCATGCATTGTGTAAAATTTTGACTATATCGAACGTGAATACATTGCATATACATGTATGTAACTTCATCTTTGCATATTATAATTTTGGCCAGTGTAATGCAGTTCCGTGGTCTAGTGGCATGTTTTTCGCTTCACTTGTGCGAGGTACCGGGTTCGGATACCGGATGATCCATTTTCTTTTTTCGAAATACATTTTTTTACTAAATGATAGTATTCAGCATGTGAAATGAAAAAAAAATTATGAGGTCTGGCTCGTACAAACTCTTAAAATCATCATTACAGTTTGATAAATATTCCATATAAAAAGAATCTTCTATACACATAATAAAGAATAAGCAATCAAATCTTGATATCCATATTGGCATATTTTATTTACTTCAGTATACATGTATTTTGATATTTAATTACATTTGATATTTCTACAAATTCAGTCAAGAGGATATGACACCCCCCCCCCTTCCCCGAACTGAGCATGGTTTACTTTTTCCCTAAGCCGGGGACACAAATTCTCTGAATTAGCTTTTTAGATTCATATGTACTTTTTCAAGAGTACAAATTATAAATACTACATAAGGATAAGTGGAAAACGGGAAAATGTAAGTTAATACGGAAAACAATCTATAATTTATAAATATAATTAAAATATAAATTATATGAGCAGATTTCAAATTCGTGATAAATTTCCTTCCTTAAAATAGAATTGTAATACTTCTCATCATTTCACTTTTCCTCTTTAAAAATATTTTGTTTAGCTGCATTTTAATGTGCACTCTAATTAAAGCTATTTTTCTTTAAATTTTTTTTATACATGTACAAAATGTAGACAAGTATCGTACATGTTATTTACTATAGTGTATCTAAGATGGAGAATGAAATTTATATAATAACGCCAATTGTTTAGAATACGAATTAAAACAATTGAAATTGACAAGAAATTAAATGATGTTTCTTGATCTCGGAAGTATTTGATAATCTATATTTAGACAAATGAATTTTCTTTTGATGCAGAACTGTAGCTCACAATAATTTCTTTTTTTTTTCTTCGATTCAAAGCAGTGGGCTACTGATTTGCGGCCAGAACAACCCTATGTGTGAATAAGTATAAAATTCAAAACTTCTAGGGATTGATGCTATAGGACAAAATATATCTTTTTATGTCTAAATTATAAGAAAAACATCAGATTATTGTTTCACTTTTCAATTATAAAGTGCGACGCTTGATATTTGCAGTAACTTTACTTTATATACAAGAATGAATACCACATCATGTATTTACAGCTCAATATTCCAACGGAATAAATACTGTATACAGGGAAATCTTCGCCCCCGTTTTATTTTCGCCCCTTTTGCTCTTCCCTCATTCGGGCGAATCTAAAAGGGAGCGAATTCAAATATTACGGTATAATATACTTAAATAAAAAACTAAGTCGGGACGAATTTACAACGGGGCAAAATTTTCCGCAAACTTGTGTGAAAGGGCGAAAGTAACACGGTTCGAAAATAACTTTATTAAATATTTTTTAAAAATGTTTTCCCTTATAAATATACTTTAAAAAAATTACTTGTGTCACAGTTCCTCAACGTTTCGTTCCACATATAACCGTTACAACACTCGAACTCTCCACTTCTCCTGTACAACAGATATCAATGCATATAAAAACCATAATGTATACATGAATTCTTGAAATATAACACTGTAAATTTGTTTGAAAATTGTACATCAGAAATGTTAACTACTGTAGATTCCTCATTATACGCGGGGAATTCATTTCCGCGTCATTTCGTGAGAATCATCACTCTCGAAATGAACTAACTCACTTTTATTTTAAGGCGCTGAAATCCATTTAAATTATATTGGTCAAGTATCCATTCGCGAATAATTATTCTCGCGATTTGACGTTTAAGAGCAAGTTGGCGATAAAAGGTACTCGCGAAAAATTAAGAGTTTACAGAATTTATGCTAAACAGTCATTCTACAAAAATCAATACCCAATGAAATATTTTTTTTGATGTTGCTTACCAATTTACCGCTGTAATATCCTAATTATTATATTGAATATAATCGGAACCGGGGTTGCTAGGGGGGGCTTAGCCCCCCCCCCCCACTTTTCTTCCAAATATATACATAGTATAGACATTGAACATAGGCATTTAAAACTTAGCCCCCCCCCCCCCCCACTTTCCACAGATACGTAAAGGTTAAAAATGGAAAATTGTTGGTGTTTGGAAGAAAATTTTTGGTACTGGAGTTCGAAACTAACACCCCCCAACCCCCCCCCCCCACCCCCAACCCCACGAAATAGGATTTTCGTGTTTTGGGAAATAGACATTTCTTTTTTTTTTTTTTTTTTTTGCTTGTCAGGTTTTTTTGGGAGGTACCAAAAAATTTTTTTAACACTTTGCCCCCCCACTTTCAATTTGCTTCCGACGCCAATGTATTCTAAGATTGATTTCAGCTTTATTTGCAAAAAAATTTAAAACTTCATCGATCATTACCTTAAATTCAATGAAATATTAGATTTTTTGTCAAAAGTTAATGATACCAGATTTGAAGACAATTCTTTTTTTTTTTAAGTTCACCACTGATATGACCTTTAGAGAAGTACATGTTAGAAGCCATGAAATGGTCCATTTATCGTAGAATGACTGTTCAACGTAAACGAGTAAAATACTCAGAAGCATGCAGAAATTCAGAAATTGTATGTTACATATGTACCTTTATGGCCAACGGACCGCATTAAAATTCAAAATCAGTGTATGTTAAATTGAATGTTTGCACAATATTGCAGTTAAAAGTGCTTACTTACTTACTTATAAATACTGTGTAATTTAAATATAAAACTTTAAAACTATTTTCTTGATATACTGCAGCTGAATTAAAACGTTATCATTTCTTTACAAACCATATGAAACATGTTTCAGCTAATTAAATAGATATTTGACGATTCAACATGCTGGTTGTTTAGATTGTGCATAAACATTGTGAAGATATATCAAAACTACAAGTTTGACAATAAGCTAAAATTAAGTAAAATACTTACAAGTAACCCAAGTCCTGCAAGTGCCAGACTTTACATTTATGTAAATCTTATTACTTACCCTAAACATTGCAGTGAGTGTGTACTTGCTACAATGGAGAAACATATTGTGACAAAGATCCTTATGTGCTGGTTGCCTTCAAAGATACCCATCACTGATTGCTTTTTATTAAGATTGTTAAGTAATTAATCATATATATACAAAAATATTGAAACATGTAATTTCAAGGAATAGAATATTTTTTTTTGAAAATGGATCTAAAAACTTCCCTGTTTTCTAAATGACGTATTTCCTTCCTAGGAGGTTCAATGGGTAACATTTAGCGAAATGCAAATGATTACATTTAAAAATGTGCTTTTGAATTGGATTCTAACTATAATTTTTGTATTATATAGTCATAACTTTTGAAAAAAAAATAGGACCTGGCTTTTATATTAAATATATATGTATATTACCCTTGGCAAGACCGTTTTGAATATACTATGATGATTTTTTTTACCCTGTGACCTTGACGTTTGACCTTCTTTCAAATTAAAAATACTGCTGTCTTTCCTTATAACATATGATGAAAAAGAGATATGGGTTTATATTTGAAATTTACATTGCCTGTGAGATGTTTGCAAGCTTGCTATTATTTATAACCCTTAAACCTCGTATTTGACGTAATTTTCAAAAATTACCTTTTAAAGACATGTGATAGGGCGTTTAAATGTGACGCAATATGCCAAAAATAATGACGAGGAGGACGGATCTAAGGCTTAATACTCCAGTACAGGAATGTCAAACTAGTTTCATGTGTTTCGTATGTTATACAGATTTTAATAGTATAATAATATGTATGCTGACATAGATATTCCTGCATGATTATTAGCTATAACTACAAGAGTGTTTTGATTTACATACAGTTGTATATGCCTCGTCTGGATTTGGTATTTAATATTGTTAGTAACATATCCTTGCTTGTTGCTGCGCAAAAACAGCTGGTATGTGGGCTTTCCTGTTTGTGTCTTGTGGCAGAACACTTGTGTGTGAACATCCTTGTCTGGGTATCAAATTAGAATCAATCGCTGTCATCTCTTCTTATCACTCCGCGCTAGGACAGGTGTGTGGACTTAATTAGTCGTTGAAGTTTGCTGTTAATTGTAAGCTCTTCCCTGTCATCGTTTTTTTTTCGCTATAAATATACGGTTACCAATCACGAATCCTATTTATACATGTACGTGCAATACGCCTCTCAGTATCTATCAGTATCTATATCAGACAGTGAGTATTAACTATTGCATGTTGCCCTTGGACCCAGCATACTAGTATAATTAAGTAGTCGCTGTTTTGCATTACTTAAAGCATGTTTAAATCAATAAATTGTTTTAATCTTGACTTCAATTGTGACTTGTATATTTATAAATAAATTTTACACGAATATTACATAAGCTCATTTTCCTTATAATTGAGGGTTTAACAAAGACCTTGACCCACCCTACCCCCGGGAATCATGATTTGAGAGAAAATGAATTCACACTTTACCATAGAATGCTTCTACGTGAGTTTCATCTTTCCTGGCCTTGTTCTTGGTTCTTAAGAAGATTTTTAAAAGATGCCATTAATTTTTCTTTAATTTATGATTTATTTCCCCTTGGAAGAGGACGTGGTCCTTCATTTGATCACACTTGAATCCCCTTTACTCAAGGATACTCTGTGGCACGTTTGGTTGAAATTGGCCCAGTGGTTCTTGAGACGAATTAAGATGAAAAATTTACGACGACAACGATGGCGACTGACAACGGACAATTTTTGATCATGCAGAAAAGCTCTCTTGATCCTTTGATTCAGGTGAGCTAAAAGAAACCTTAATTTTCTGAACAGATTATTATTACGTTACAGCTCTGCTTTTGTATCTACACTTGTATATTTAGTCTCGTTCAACCAGACCCTCGGCTGTCTCCGTAAATCTCCGACCATCCAGAGGGTCCAGACTCTCTGCTGGTCGGAGTTTACGGAGACAGCCGAGCGTCTGGTTGAACGAGACTATTGTATATTATGATTCAAGCATCCAAATCCAGCCCATCGTCAACGATACATGTATCTACAGGTAATAGATGAGCCATGCCTTATAGATGTACCCATCAACTTGGACAGTCTACCATCAACCCGTCAGGAAAGGACCAACTACGATTTATTAGGTATTTATTTCATGAACATTTTATCACATGATAATACTTTTTTGTATTTTATTAAAATGCATATATAATTTTTAGAACTATGAGTTGAATTGCATGTTAAAAAAATAATCAATTGTATTTCAAAGGTTTCGAATTAATTATAAGATAAAATGTAATTTATGAAAGACATGAAAATTTTCGCCCCCGTTTTATCCCTCCCCTTTTTCTCCACTCACAGGTGGGGCGAATTCAAGACTAGGTTAATTTGAAACGGGGCAAAATTATTTGCAAAAGTACGAAAAAACGGTTACCCTGTTTACAGTATTTAATATAGGGTTGGCATCACAGGATCAACGGCAAGACTGGGCATCGTTGATATGCACCTTTTACAAGTTGCAGCAGGAGACAAAATCAAGGTGGTGGAAACCAGGGTATCCAGCAACAATATACTCTCCCCCCCCCCCCCCCCCCCCATCTGAAAGTGGGGGGGGGGGGGGGGCTAATGCCCCTGCTGCCTCCCCCCCCCTCCCCCCCCCCCTTGTGACTACGCCTATGACAAAAATAAATTTGACATTAGCATTTGGGTTAATCTAAATGCAAGCTATCCAAGACAGAGTTACAGGTAATGGGGATTTTAAAAATGGTGCGAAACCACTCGGTGCGAATACGTCATCAGGGCAAACCCATCTTGTTACCGAACCAGGCTGTAGCCATCCGAGAGGCTCCGAGTGGATTTTTTCGACGGTATAGGCCTAAATCCCTAATGTAATATTAATATTTTATTTTAAAAAATTGCAACCATAATAAAGGTGAGTAGCGTTAGTTTTGTCCTAGCGGTTAGATATTTGATAAAACGCATATTTCCTTACGAAATTAACTATGTGAAAAAAAGTTATTTATAGCACAGGGGATTTTTAAGCTGCATGGCTCCATTGCTGGCATGAAGAAATTCTGTTTACTATAGGTCTGTAGGTGTCTTCATGTTTGTCATTTCATCTTGTTTTCATTGATACAAGTAGGATATAGTCGAGTTTTGAAGAGAAATTGAAATATTTTTATGTTTATAAGTCTATTATATATATGATTATATAGATCCTTCATCCACATTCAACCGACACTTCACATCACTTATTTTTCTTTTATAAAAATTATAGGGTCTGTAGCTTACTCCCTACCGCGTGTTTTATTAGGTAGGCCTAATGGGTTATATTTTTTTATTAAAAGAAAAATAAGTACATTTAACGTCAGGTGCCTGTGACTTGATATGAATGTCAATAATTCTTGGAAATCTAGCTTTTTTGTAATCGAGGTATAAGAATTTGTAAAAATTAATTCAGGACCTTGCACACTTTTTTGTGTGCAATAAATTTACAGTTTTTTTCAATTGGTGGCACCATGGCTCGATCTCTGGTCTGTCAATATAATTTTCTTCAGAGAGCTACAGTTCTGCAGCTAGGGGCGAAGGGGTTCCATGTGTAATCATGGTAATGGTTTGGGCCCTGGATATAATTATTTGCCTGGAAAGCTCAGTCGGTAGAGCTGCAACTGACTAGTGATCATGTAGGGGTCATAGGGGTTCCTGGTCCAGCCATACATTTTCTCCTTTAATTCCTATTACAGATTTGGTGCCTTTGACCACCCCTAAAATTGCACTGGTGTTTTAACATTTTAAGTCCTGCCAGGGGCTAACAAGAAACTTGGGTTGTGTCTTTGAGGGTGAAGACCATTTAAGGAGGGAGGAATGTTATGGATTAGGCTCTGAATATCCACTTGGATAGTTCACTCCATAGAGCACCTGACTAGTGAAGCAAGGGTCCTGGGTTTGATTCCAAGTCCTGCCATACATGTACATTTTCTCCTTACCTCTTACAATTATGAATATATGCAGTCTTTAGTTTTGCTACAGTACATTTTTCATTGTAATTCACATAAATTATTGTTCCGAAATTTCTGTAAAAAATTTGATTAGAGAGTAGGGGGCGGAGCTTTGTTCTTTGCTCCCAGAGTGTCCTTCCGGAATTTTTTTTCATATCCCAACATCACCACTTGCTGGTCAAGGTCTGTTTTGGTCACAGGCCTTTATATCGCTTAGAAAAAAAATTGAGGTGTTGGGGAAAAAAAAATAAAGGTATGGAACTCTTTTCGTGGGGTACCTACTTTCACCAATAATATTCTTTTAAATCAAATGCTTTACAATTTTACTTTCTATCCATATCTATTCAAATATTAAATATCTTCATTACTACCAAAGTTCTTTCCGTAATTCCGTATACTTCTCGAGATATTCTGAAATCAATTCCCAAATTGAAGAGAAATTGAAATATTTTTATGTTTATAAGTCTATATATATATATAAACTGTAAAATAAAATATTTTCAAGGGTTCAAACTTTGGTGGTTTTTAGGAAAATATATTGGTTCATTGGTATTTGATTATGTGGTAGAAGTATTGATTTTCACTAATTTTCATGGGGGTTTTATTTTCGTGGTTTTCAAGGTATGTAGAGACCCAATAAATTTGTTGGTCTCTTCATACTTTTAAAACCACGAAAATAAAACCCCCACGAAAATTTTTGTTTTCTCAGTACATAATATTGAATCCTGAAGATTTTGGTACTTAATTATACCATTAGTTTATTTAACAGGTTTGAAGTATAAACAAAGACAAACATGGGGAAAATTGATGATAAAACGAGACCAAGTGATGCTTTATTGAGAGGTTTCACAAGTAGCAGCAATGACAATGGTTAGTACATTAATATATTTTCTCTTTCAAGTGAATTAGTTGAAGCCGATTTTTTGAAATGGATAAAAACACTATTTCTTGTTAAATGATAATTAGCCAAGCTCACGGGCATACACTGTAACAGCAGTAAACATTGATTGACAATAGGTGATATTCTAAAGAAATAGTGACTGCACAGAATTTGTGCATGCAAGACTTTCAGGACAGTATAATATACACTGTAATAAATACTGCATGATGTTGATGGTAACATAAAAAGTTTTCACCCTTCAAAAACTATTGTCAGTCTTGGCTGCACTTCTGTTGACAAAGCTAGGTTTTCTTGTGGTGTAAATTCAAATGTGAATTTATCAGAATCAGAAAATATTATTTTGAGTCGAATGATTATAACAGAAACATATTAAGCTCTGTAGAGCTTTTGACCGACATTATATTAGTACTACATATTATATAAATATTGCATGTAGTTGAGTGTAACATTGAAAATTTTCACCCCAAGAAAACCATTGTCAACCGAGGCGCAGCCGAGGTTGACAATGATTTTTGAGGGGTAAAAATTTTCAATGTTACACTCAACTACATGCAATATTTATTATATTATACTGAATGTTTTATACAAATACATATAACAGTGAACCGTGCGCGCATAAATTCAGCGCAGTCGCTATTTTTTGGATTACCACCCGTCGTCAAGCAATGTTGACTGTTGCTACGCAGGAGGGCGTGGCTTCATTATTCAGCTGGTAGTAGTGATTTTTATCAAATGTTTCTCGACGAATCAGATTCAAGTAATTTACATGAAAGTATAATATCATAAATGACTATATACACATATATTATGGTTAAAAAATTATATTTTTTTCTCTAGATTCTGAGTACAGTCAGGATCCACTGAGGCTAAAGTTAATGAAAAAACTTCAAAATCATGGCATTCAAGCAGAGAGTGGGACCCCATCAAACCTTGTTAGGACAGAATCTTCACCAGTAGAACATTTAATGGGTGACTTACTCATAGTTTAGTAAAAATAAATTGCATTACTAATGATTGCAAAGAATGGTACATGTACAGTACATTGTAAAACTAATACACCAAGGATGGTTTAGGGATTTGCCCATGTTTTTATATCTACAGAATACAAAAGCATAAGACTTATAAATAATATTGTCTGACTAAGTATTGCAAATGTACCACTTCATGACTTCATGTACTACTTGTACAACACATGCACAATAAGGCTTCAGTATCAAGTTATCAGTTCACAAAATATTGTTTTGTAGGACAAATGTTGGACAACCAACGTGGCACCCTTGATGTCCTGGTTAGAGGAAATAGAACTGAGGTGTCCTCTCCCTGTATAGGTATTTCAGGTAAAACTGAGAACCAGCTGGATCAAGGTACATGCTGTTAACATATATAATTAACAAAAATGAAAACAGAATAATAAAAGAAATCCTTCAAGGTCTTTTAATAAGTAAACATTGGAACCACAATGAGACATTGGAAAGTGGTCTGGTCTATTTGGTTTATTTGCTTTAATTTCTTTTTATGAATTCCATTCTTAATAATCATGTCAGTTACGGTTCCTCAAATTATTTACAGGGATGAAAATAAAATCCTGGAAAACAAGACTAGAAGAATCTTTTTCTGGGATGTTGCCTGCTTCAGTGAAGCCAAATCTGCCAGGACCTACATGGATCAAGAAAGTTCATCCAGATCTAGCTATAATAAAATTTGTTCAAGGTGATTTTTTACCTGTTTAAAAATATTGAAATATAATATTTGGTGCATGTATCAGCATTTCTGTCTGTCTGGAGACTTCTGCATGGATTTGTCTAAAAGCTTGTACACTCACTATTCACCATATGAAATTGTACCTTATAATTTCATCTGGATTAGAAAAAAAATATTCATCTGGCAGATTCCTATTAACTCACCTCGCAGCACAGTTAAGGTTACAGTAAGTAGGCGGAGCCTAATTTGTACGGGAAATGTTTACTATGATGTCACGCATAATACAAGGTCTTCAAAATACCACAAAATGAAATTATTTGCTATTTCAAACAGCTAGATAGCTGTATACTACATACAAACTTACTGTTACATGCAGTTTTGTCGTTTGTTAAATCCCACACAACAGTATATAAACGATGCATCGATCGCAATGCACTTGTCAATTTGACGTCATCTCGCAAAAATGACGCAGTTTTTACACAGTGAGAAGCCGATCAAGTCATATTTTGTACAATGAAAAATGTCTTTTGTTCTGAAATAAAATATTATTTGCTGTAAAATAAAAAGCCATTAACTTGGATGCGATGTCGATTTTAGTATTTTATCTATAAACTGTACGTGCATTCTCCAGACTAGCGATACTGTCGTGTCTTTGTATGCAGATTCATTGAAAAAGTAATGGAAGGGTCCTAATAAATCGATTTATTGCAAGGGCATACCCTCAATGTATGTCGTGAAAATTTTACACATAAACTCAAGAAGCATTAAGATATTTGAAAAGTGCTGCGAACCTCTTGAAATCTTGCAAATAAATTAATTATAGCTATATTTACATGTAATGTAGTTGACCTGCAAAATATTCGATCTGACGTCTAAAAAATTAAATTTTACCAATTAAAAAGGGGAATTTATATAGGTTCGCAGCACTTTTCACAAACTACATATAGTGCTGAAAAGGATTATAAAATAAACTAAGATTTTTAACTTAGTTATGCCCTTGCAATATTGAAATTTATAGATGACCTCTAAACTGCATGTATAATTGCCAAAGTCATGTGACGTCGACATCATATGACAAGTCTAAATAAAAAAAATCTAAATGTCCCCAACATGTAGATTTAAACCACATAACATTTTTTTAATATCAGCGAATTCCTAAAAAGATTCGCCTATTCTAATAAAGTATGTATTTTTTATCTTAAAAAATCGCCGATAATTCCATTTGTAACCTTAACTGTGCTGCGCTGTGCTGAAATCTCAAATGAACTTTTATGATCACATTTTGTCTATGATATTTCTGTATAGCTATCCTTATGTAAACTTGTCATATTTTCGATAATTCTTCTCAAGAACTAATGAGCCAATTTTATCCACTAATGAGCCAATTTTATCCAAACTATAATGCCACAAATTATCTTTGGGTAAAGGGGATTTATGGCTAATCTTTTTAAAAAACTTTTGATCCCATTATTTCAGACACTGAGAGGTTTAGAATCATCAAATCTTGTAAGTTGATGCATCTTGGGGCCTTAAAACATATTCATAAACATGATAAAAATTAAGTCACTGTGACCTTTTTTAACTTTGCAGGCATTTGTTTTCAATTTATTTAAAAGGCATATATTGAATACTATTAGACCTATGATCATCAAATTTTGTCAGTTGATGCCTCTTGGGTCTTCAGAAAATGTCGACCAACTTTCAACATTTTATGGCTATATTTAAGTATCTCAGGTACTTATAGGCTTAGAATCATCAAACTTTGTCAGTTGATGCATCTTGGGTTTTAGGAGATTGACGACCAAAAAATAGGTCATGGTGACCTATTTTTGACATTGTATGGCTGTATTTACTTGTCTTGGGTACTTATTGGCTTAGAATTATCAAACTTTGTCATTTGATGCATCTTGGGTTTTTGGAGCATGTTGACCAAAACAATAGGTCACAGTGACCTACATTTGAATATCTCAGGCACTGATTGGCTTAGAATCATCAAACTTAGTCAGTAGATCTTCTTTTGACATTATATGGCTGTATTTACTTATCTTGGGTACTTGTTGGCTTAGAAACATCAAACTTGGTCAATTGAAGCATGTTGGGTTTTCAGAGAATGATGATTGAAAAGGAGGTTACGTTGACCTACTTGTGACATTTTATGGCTATATTTATGTATTCTCGGGTACTTTATGGCTTAGAATTGTCAAACTTTGTCAGTTGACGCACCTCTGGTTTTTGGAGAATGTTGACCAGTAAGTAGGACTCCATGACCTCTTTTGAATATCTCAAGTACTTATTGACTAAGAATCATCAGTCTTTGTAAATTAATGCATCCTCAGAAAATTTCAATCAAAAAGTGGGTCACCATGACCTACTTATAGTATTTTATAGTTACATTGGAATATCTTCAGTCCTAACTGGCTAAGAGTCATCTAACTTTGTTGATGCATCTTGGGTCTCAGTATAGATTGTATAATTTATCAGAAGAGCGATTCAAAACCCTTGGGCCATCCTTAAAAAATTGTTTGTTTGGAATTGCCGCCTAGGGGTTTTCAGACCCAGGAGGGAGGGAGGGTTTTTTTTCTTACAAATTGAAGCTAAGGCCTAAATGATTACAAATAAAAGTCTCAATGAACATGATGAACAGTGGTGATTTTCATTAATTACTTTATTTTATAAATTTTTTTTTGGTCTGATTTTAGAAAAAATAAACACAGAATGGAACTCATACATCAATCTAAATTTAGTTGTTGGATCTCCTCATTTATTAAAACTTGAAAGTCAATTTCAGTGTCAAATTTCTAGTTTATTTCAACAATCTTTTTTAGACAATAATTTTATCAGTCTACTTCATAGTATTTCTCTTTGAAATTTAGCCCTTTGTTAAGACAACCCTTACAAACAGTGCAAACCACACAAAATTTCTTAAGAATATTTGTGAAGTTTTGTGGAAATGCGGGAGGGGGTGCTTGGTATGTTCTAGTGTTCACCATGAATCAGTTTTAGATTATGATTCAAAGAATTATCATACTGACATACAACATTAATATTTTTTCTCTAGTATTTGGTATAAAACATTTCTGATCCATGAAGTTTTTTAACTGGGAACTGCCAAACGGTCATTTTTAATTTCAACATCACAGACTAATCATGCTAATTGAATTAGCCTATCAAGTTCAATGTGCAATCTATTACAATTATAACTTTTTCCAGGTATCAGTGTTTCATTCCATAGAATTTTTTATTCCCCTTTTATTGTCATGGAGATGCATAGATATTCTCCTCTTCAATGCTTGAATGTTTTCACATCCACAGATCCAACCTGGTCTGACATTTTGGCGGCCTTCATTTTGTCAAATCTCCCACCTATAATTGCTAAATCGAAAATACTATGAAGAAAGCGTTTTATTGACAGGTGTTGTTAAATTAATGTGAGCTCAAACCCGACTTTTCGACGAATGAACTAACTTGTAACAAACAATGTAAGACAATAAAACGGTAAAAAAAAAAATTTGCAATAGTTTGCCGATAAAATTTTTTGAGTGGGGGGTATTTCATTGAGGCGGACAGCAATTCCAAACAAACTTTAATTTTATTTTGGCCTTGGGCATCTTGTTTTCCATACATAGAGTAAAATTGTCATTTTTTTTATAAAACCTTTTCTAGGACTTCCAAAAACTTTGAATCATATTAAGATGAATAAAATAAAAATTGTGTCATGATCAATTTCATTTTCAAGCTTGATAATAATGCATTTTAAATTAAATATTAATTATCTTTTTGAGTTATCCTTCCTTGCTGAGGATCGGATATCCTTAAGCTATATGTTTTCAAAAATAATTACCATATTTTTATGCCCCCCTTCAAAGAAGGAAGGGCATATTGCTTTGTTGCTGTCTGTGGATATGTCGGTTGATTTGTCGGTCCACTTAAGTATCCGTTCATTTTCTTTGCAACTGTTGCACATACTGAAATGAAATTTGGCATATATACAGGTATATCACATGAATATCTAGGTCAAGTTCTCTTTTGGGTATGATCACACCATTTTTTACAGTTATGCCCCTTGGACTCAGCAAAATTCCAATTATTGGCAGTTTCTCTTCATTTTCTTTGCAACTGTAGCACATACTGAAATGAAATTTTGTATACAAATATCAGATGAATATCTTAGTCAAGTTCTGTTTTGGGCTCAATTGTCGTGTCGTGTCCTTTTGGACTTGGAAAAATTCCAATTTAGGGGGAGGGGGGCATAAGTGTTTTACAAACTTCTCTTGTTAAAAATATGTCTCTTGTATGCCAGGATTTGCAAAAAATCCAGGCATAATACACCTCTGAATTTTGTACGGGTCCTCTATCTCTATGGTTTATGCCCATTTTGGAGAGTTTTAGTTTTTTTTAAAAAAAATTACTTGTCTCAAGGCAAAAAGATAATGCACTTTATGAATGGAAAGTATTTATTACTATTGTTTTTGAAGAGACAGAAAATTATATCTTGTCATAAAACATGAACATGTAAAATGCAATTCAATTTATTCAGTTATTTTAAAATTCCATGTCTTAGAGAGTATAAAGAAATACTTGTGACATGTGTACGCTGTTAGTGTCAAGGGCTATTAGCCCTGATTGTTGTGTTTTCAAGACATTTTAAATTAGGGAATAACTATCTTCTAATTTTGTATTTGCTACCGTTAATGCTGATTTAACAGTCGCAAACTGAGTTTTACCGGCGACGTGTAAGCGGAGTTGGTAAAACAGATGTTTGCGACCGTTAAATAAGCATTAACGGTCACAAATACCAAATTAGAAGATAGTTATTCCTATTCTAATGCAATCCATGCATTTTGTTTGTTGTTTGCGTCTCATTTTGTTGAATTTTGTTACATGAAATATGTCACAGAGCATTGTATTTTTGCGTCGCTCTATTATGACGTCACAATGAAAAAGCTTTCATGCTCGTTAATGCTCGTTTTACTGCTTCAAACATCAGTGCATTAGCCAATCAAAGAGTGTTTTACAAAACAATTGCATTAGAATATAATTTTTTTTCTATAATTCTAGGAATAAGAAAATACCTTTCCAAAGAGCATGGAAAAGTACATATATGTCGCACCTTTTTAAAGAACTTAATGGCAGCAACTGTGATGTGTACCAAACTCTTTGACACCAAATGGGGTTTTATAACTTTTGGTTTTTTTATGTGTCTGCTCTTCAGCACGGTGAGTGATATTCTCAAAATGGACATATTTTTCTAATCTAAAGAGCTGTTAAGTGAAAGTTGTCTCCTCTATGCCTTCTTTCTGCTGTAAACCAACTAATATTGCATCATTTTTTATTCTGATTCTTCAATTTAATTTGATTTAATCTGTGATGATTAATTTTTGTGAATAAAGAAACATTCTCTACAAATAGCAAGCAAAATGATTGGTTCTTTGCGATTAATATTCGTGAGTCCAAGTAGATACTGTAGACATTTCCTACTTTTCAAGATATGTTATGATTACTGTCATAAATAATTTTGAAATTTCTTTAAAACTATCAGAATGTACTCAGGATCCATGAAAAAAAAGCAATGACATAAATTATGTTATTTATCAGAAATATAATTTTCAGTAAGAAAATTGAAAATATTTCAGGCCGGATCAACTGAGGTGACTGAAGAGTGCCTTATGTCAACCATAAAAACTATAAGGAAAGCTTCAAAGTGCCCTACAAACAGAAGTGATTGGGACAAAGCTGCAAACCTTATGAACTGCCAAGGTTTAGTTCCATCCCAGTGTACCACCTTAAAATACCACTGTGTAATGAATGGTTTTGGTAATGAAACAATAGAAGTTTGTGCAGTTCCCAAATACATTCAACCTGGTGAGTAAATTGTAAATCGTGTTCTAAAAAAAACTATATACCAGTAAATATAGGTTTCCCCCTTTTATTTTTATTCAAAATGATTTTGTTTCTGTTTTCTTAAGGTCAGACGAGACGTTCCTCAAAATATGTTTTGTATATCTTCTTAATGTATGAAAAAAAATCAAAATTTTAACAACATTCTGATTTCTTAACCAGTTTCTAAACGTCTTTACAAAATTCAAACACTTCAACATTTGAAACTGGAAAATTATTTTTCTTCGCAAAAGGATTATATAAGGAAAACTACCCCTGGTATTTCGCAGAAATGCCTGGTAAGGTACCTCAATTTTTTGTGAGTAAACATGTTTAAGTAGCAATTCTTCAATGACTAAATCTTGGAAAATTTTATCTATTATTAAGGAACGTCTCGTCTGTCCTTAAATGTTTTTGTTAGAAAACATATTTTTAAAAAAGGCATGTATAGCAGTAGATGAAATATATTTAAATCTAAAATATATATTTAATATCCTTGCACTAATATTGAAAAATTGTCCTTACCAGACACTCACTGGCTCCATAGCAATTTCCAAAATTACAAAACATAATGGATTAGATACTGTCAGTGATAACATTTTAATCTCTATACAATTGAATTTGCTAGGAAAAGGACTAAAAATCACATTGTATTAAGTTAAATTTCAGAATGCTGAACATCCAGATAAAACAAGTTTCATTGTTACCTTGATTTAAAAGTTAGACCTCCTTTTAAAAAATTCTAATATTTTCTAAAAAAAAATTAAACGAGAAGAAAAAACAATCATATTGTATGTGTACTTATCTGTGACAAAACCTTTCTGATAATTTTTGACTTCATTTGACCTAGAACTTTTTTTTTAAATGTAATTATCTTTAATTTTGATGTACATTACCTATATTACATCTGTCATCTTAACATTTTATTTAAAAAAAAATTATTGTTGAGATCTAAACTTGTAATCACAAAATTATAATACATTTATTGATGTTGAATTTAATAGTGAAATTTATATTTATTATGCCCCCCTTCAAAGAAGGGAGGGCATATTGCTTTGCTGCTGTCTGTCGGTCGGTCTGTCGGTCCATTTAGTTTCTGTTCATTTTCTTTACAACCATTGCACATACAGAAATGAAATTTGGTATACAGGTATATCAGATGAATATCTAAGTCAAGTTTTGTTTTGGATACGATCGTACTATTTTTGACACAGTTATGCCCCTTGGACTTAAAAAAATTCCAACTATTTGCAGTTTCTGTTCATTATACCCCCCGCAAACGAAGTTTAGGGGGGGGGGTATATTGGAATCACCATGTCCGTCTGTCCGTCTGTCCGTCTGTCTAGCTGTCTGTCTGTCTGTAGACGAGAATTTGTCCGGACCATTACTCAGAAACTATTGGAAGGATTTGTCTGAAAATTTGTACACATATTATTCACCATATGAAGTTGTGCACCTGATATTTTTCATCTTGATTGGATTATTATTTTGAATTTTACAGGTGTTTTTTCATTTTTATTTTGGGGTTTTTCTCAGAAACTATTACAAGGATTAATCTGAAAATTTGTACAATTATTATTCACCATATGAAGTTGTGCACCTGGAATTTTCAACTCTTTTTGTTCATTTTTCTGCATTTTACAGGTTTTTTAAAATTTAATTGACTTGTTCATTTTAGGCTCATGTATAAGGTTTTAGACATAGAATCTAGAATATCTGTACAAAAACGTGAACTACAGATTAAAACTACTCATAAAAACTTAAGAAAAAAGAAACATCAAGTGTTAAAAACAGTTTTTATATTGCACAGAAGATAATGTAATTTCATTTGTCTCTTGGGAATAATGACTGGACATGCATCCAGTTAAAGATAAATTAATGAGTTTGGTGTTGGAAGTTGTTTAGGCATATCTCTTATCAAGTGTGTGTGTGTTATCAAATCTTCAGGGAATAAGGCACAAGAATTAAAGATCTCTCTTCTCTTATTCTCTTAATTGTAATTTATTGTCTGTCAAAACACTTCATTACTGGATGACCAGTTCTTTATTTTCAAAATGCATTTCAAATTGATATATATCAAGATTGATTTGATTTTGTATAATGGTGTTTTTTTTTCAACAATCAGTTTGCAGAGTGACATAACACATAATTAAGTCTTCCGTTCACAACGGAAGACTTATAGTGTTTGTATTGTTTCTTTTTATTATTATTATTATTCCTCCTAAATTTTGTGAGCGCGATTACTCAGAGATGGTTGGATAGATTTTCACAATTTTTTACAGGATAGTAGCCAGATATGTGAAGTTTATATAAAATTCTGTTTTTTGAAATATTCACTTCCGGTCCGAAGTTATGGCTAAATTTCCAAATTTTAAATTGACTTTTGTCCAGAATTTTTCTCAAGAACAGGTTGTGGTAAAAATGTGGAATTTCTGGGACTCTTAGATCATCACATTCTCTTTGTTTTGATGTATTTTTCGTGTGTTTCCGTTACTTCCTGTCCGAACCGGAAGTGAATTTGTGTTTCGGTCAATTTTCGACTTTTTTGTTTTAAATAATTTTTTCAAGATATTTCTGGGTATAATAGAGATATGTCCACAATAGCTAAATATATAATTTGTTTTCAAATCAGATCACACATTTTGTAGATTTTGGTTACTTTCGTTTTGCATTTATAAAATCAAAGTACTGAAAGTACTAAAAGGGCATTTCTTACTTTTAATTACATGGAGGTTACGTTTACACGTTTTTCTGCATACAAAAACCAAAACATACAGACATATTTATATTAGGAGTAAGATACCATAATTGCAATGAAAATCAAAGTACCTAAAGTACTGAGAGGACTGATTTAGATATCAACCTTTTTCTCACTGAAGTGTACATGTACATGTATGTAGTATAAGCAGGCATGTTTTCCTACACATAAACATCAATGCATACAATAAGTTGCCTATGGAAGCTTATTTTTGTCAGTCAATAAAAATCATAGTACCACAAGTACTGAAAGGATATTAACTATATTAGTTTACTTTGACTTATATATACATGTAAATCTTTCTTTGACAGCAAAAATTAATTCAATTCATATAAACACGTAATATAACTTGTCATGTGTTTTCATCAAGGATTGTGAATACTTTTATTTTTGTAGTGAAAATCAAAGTACTGCAAGTGCTGAGACGTTGTCTTCTAGATACTCCACATTTATAATTTTAATTTAAAGAAAGTTAGAATTTGCTTCTTATCAAAAAAAAGCATGCATAAGAACAACAGATGCATTCATTTTTGCAGTAAAAATCAAAGGACTGCAAGTACCGAAATGACATACTTAGTTTCTTACAATTTTAAATTTATTAAATAAAATGTACACGATTCTCTACATACAAAAAACAATGCAGACGGTATCATACAGGAACGGAAGACTTTTTTGTTGCCATGGCAACAAGAGTCTAGTTGCAATATATTTTTTTAATGCAGTAATGAAGAAAAATTAAATGAAAAAAAAAAAGTTACAATGGGAATTACATTAATGTATTAGTATTGTTGTTTCATTTGGTTGCACCTCCGTTTCATTCATTAAGAAACATGATGAGCAATTTTATTTCACTTGAAATTTTTTTAAGTAAATTGTGAACATCTCTAGATCCATAAAGTATTTTTGAATTGGCACCTTCTCTGAAAAACCCAGCGGGGGGTATTTGTCCCTACTGGACAGTTCTAGTTTTCTTTGGAGAGGTTGCACATATTGAGATGGAATTTAGTATACAGATTAGTCAGATGAATATCTAGGTCAAGTTCTGTTTTGGGTAGGATCGAGCCATTTTTGACAGAGTTATGCCTCTTGGACTTAGAAAAAATTCCAACTATTTGTAGTTTCTGTTCATTTTCTATGGAGAGGTTGCACATATTGAACATGTTGAAATGGAATTTAGTATACAGATTAGTCAGATGATTATCTAGGTCAAGTTCTGTTTTTGGTATGATTGCACCTTTTTAGCTCACCTGAGCTGAAAGTTCAAGTGAGCTTTTCTGATCACATTTTGTCTGTGGTCCGTCTGTCTAGCTGTCCGTCCGTCTGTCTGTCTGTAAACCTTTCACATTTTCGACTTCTTCTCAAGAACCACTGGGCCAATTTTAACGAAACTTGCCACAAAGCATCCTTTGATGAAAGGGATTCAAGTTTGTTCAAATGAAGGGCCAAGACCTCTTCCAAGGGGAGATAATTATGAATTGATGAAAAATTAATGGTATCTTTTAAAAATCTTCTTCTCCAAAACCACAGGGCCAGGAAAGATGAAACTCATGTTGAATCATCTTCAGGTAGTGTAGATTCAAATTTGTTCAAATCATGACCCCCGGGGGTAGGACGGGGCCCAAAATGGCCGACCAAAGTTTTACATAGAAATATATCGGAAAATTCTTTAAAAATCTTTTCAAGAATTACAAATCCATAATTGATCATATTTATACAGAAGAATCCTTAGGTAATGTATATTTACATTTGTTCAGATCATGACCCCCGGTGTTAGGGTGGGGCCAAAATGGACGACCAAAGTTTTACATATTTATATATAGGAAAATTCTTTAAAAATCTTCTTCTCAAGAATGACAAAGCATGCATAATTGATCATATTAAATTGAAGCATCCTCAGGAAGTGTAGACTCAATTTTGTTCAAATCATGACCCCCGGTTGTAGGGCGGGGCCAAAATGGCCGACCAAAGTTTTACTTAGAAATAGAGGAAATTTAAAAAAAATCTTCTTCTCAAGAATGACAAAGCCATTATTGATCATATTTATATAAAAGCATCCTCAGGTAGTGTAGATACCAGTTTATTCAAATCATGACCCTATGGGGTGGGGCGGGGCTAAAATGGCCGAAACAAATTTTTACATAGAAATATATATGCGAAAATTTTTTAAAATCATCTTCTCAAGAATGACAAAGCCATAATTGATCATATTTATATGGAAGCATCCTCAGGTAATGTAGATTCAAGTTTGTTCAAATCATGGCCAGCGGGGGTAGGGCCGGGCCAAAATGGCTGACTAGAGTTTTATATAGAAATATATATAGGAAAATTCTTTAAAAATCTTCTCAAGAATAAGAAAGCCATAAATGATCATATTTATATGGAAGCATCCTAAGGTAGTGTAGATTCAAGTTTGTTCAAATCATGACCCCCGGGGTTGGGGGTCATGATTTATCTGACCAAAGTTTTACATAGAAATATATAGGAAAATTCTTTAAAAATCATCTTCTCAAGAATAACATAGCCATGATTGGTCATGGGACTACTTTTGGATATAAACTATTCAATGATAATCCAATTTCTACTTTTTCCTAGCCACAGTGCTCAGGTGAGCGATGTGGCGCATGGGCCTCTTGTTTGACAGAGTTATGCCTCTTGGACAATTCGTGGGTGAGGGGGACATGAGTGTTTTGCAAGACATCTCATTTCCATTGACATGCCTCTCTTTTAAGTTAAATTAGTAATTTTTTAAAGAGCAATTTGTGAATTATATTTTCCTAACACCGTAAAACATAGAGAAACTCTGCAAACATCTTTCAAATTTGCAAATTCTCTAAATGCTTGCAAGTTTGTATGTTTATCAGCATTTGTAATTGAGAGTCTTGGTTACTGGTAGGGAACTCTCAGTTGCTTCCATACTTTAAATATGCTGACTGAGAAAAACATTTCAAATTCAATTTTTTGGGAAATCTTTCTTATTATACAATTTTAAAGTTGTAAAAGCAAAGGTTTGCAGGGCAAGAGATCTGCGCAGGGGGAATAAGGAAGCATACAAAATATTCTACCTTGGCTAAATCAGTGCTGCATTATGACGTCATAGAAGGCAAGATGACGTCAATTTTAGAAATCAGGTTTTCGTAATATTGGTATTTACCAATGAAACTGAACTCTAGAAAATGATTTGTAATGCTGTAACAGTCATTATGATTGAAATCTACCACTGATGACGTCATATGTGTCCATCGAGTAACTTGGAAATTGATCATGTCGTGTAAAGAGAATTTGGCTTAGACACCATGTATAAAGATACGTAAACTGGAGTTTAAAAGAAAATATTGGAAACATTGTGTTAAATTCATATGGTGTTCAATTAATTAAACAGGTATGCTAATTTATTTTCATCGATTATATTCTCTTTCGAAGACAGTCGCTCATATTATGTATCCCGGTTAGCCTATCTTCCGTCATTCTTGACCAAATAATACAACAGAACAACAATAAGCTGGATATTTCAAAACATACGATTTGTACAGATTGAAACTTTGCGTTTTGACAAACTTGGAAAGTGCTGCTAGAATCCCGAGTTAAGAATGGTTGTACGAATATGTACGAATGGTTGTTTTGAATATGTCTAAAATTCAAAACAAAGGGTAAGGTTTCGTTCGAATATGTGGAATAAATATTTTACGGACAAGATAGTTGGATTCTAGCAGCACTTTTAAGAGAAAATAGATGTTTTTCAGCTATATTACACACTCAAAGATATTATCAAACTACGGGGTATTGTTGTTCTGTAAGCCTTTTTATTAAGGAAAGTTTTGCTATTAATAGAAGTCACGTGATGCCGTGGCGGTGATGCACGTTTTTGCATTAGACACGCTTTTACCTGTATGCAATAGTAAATAACAGTTTATGTTTATCAGTGGTTTTGGTACTTTATTGAACTAAATTTTCTTCAAGAAGTCTAAATTTCCCCAAAAATTACTTATATGCTTCCTTAACATACCCTTGTGCAGTTTCAAAATAAAGTTATCTTGATCAGATCATTACCTTGATTTGTTTTGTGAAATACTTGCTTTTGAATTTTTATTTTATACATTTGATTTATATCAATCTGGATAACATGTGCATTAATATTTTTTTTTATATTTAGGGTATTGTGCAGAATTCAACAAACTAGGCAAAAAAATCCAAAACCACCGTCATTTCTATCCTAAAGGAATTAAAAAAGTTTACATTTCAACAGATATATATAAATGTAAGTTTATTAAAATGAAAAGGTTCATTAGGGCCCCGCAAGGATTTGTGGGTGTCCTATAGTAATCACTCTGTCTGTCTGACCATCTGTCTAGCTGTCATTTCTCCATCCACTAATTTTCTGGGTTTTTTCCTAACAACCTTTTTATGGTTGACCAATTTAGTTCAAATTTGGTATGTTGGTTGAATAGGCAGGAAAACATATTTTGATGCTAAGTTTGTTTCTCTATGTCCTCTGGTTTGAAGCTGGGGTGGTGGGGATAGATTCCTTAACTTTATATATCAATGAATTGGCAAAGAAAAATAACTGCTGAAACTGTGAAAGCTGCAATGAGTTTCTTGGAATTAATAAGCTTTCCTTTTGAAGAAAATCCAAAGCATTTTCTTTATTATCTATTACATTTAGATAAATTAAGGCCCCGCAAGGATTTGCGGGTGCCCTATAGTAATCACTCTGTCTAGCTGTCCATCTGTCATTCTACCGTCCATAAATTTTCTTTTTTTTTCCTAATAACTTTTTTTTATGGTTGCCCAATTAAGATCAAATTTGGTATGGTAGTTCAATAAGCAGAAAGACAAATTTTAATGCTAAGTTTGTTTCTCTGTGTCCCCTGGTTTGGAGCTGGGGTGGTGGGGTATATTCCTTAACTTTATATATTTAAGCATGCTTTGACAAAGAGAGATAACTGCTGAAGATGTTTCCATTGTAAACTGAACACTGCTATGAGTCCCTTGGGATTAATTAGCTTTCCTCCTGAAGAAAATCTAAAGCATTATCTTTATCTGTCACATTAAAATTAAATGCCACCTCTGTCTGCAAATGGAGTTTGTTTTGAAGTTCAGTCAATTTGGAATGCTATGAACACTCTGAAATGTGGATTTAGATATAAATGTTTACAGTTTATACTTTATTTTTGTTAAAACACCCTACACAATGAGTTATGATTTCATTGAATTCTAAAACAAGAAATAGATTAAAGAAGACATATCTTTTATTTTTACTTTTTTTCTCTTTATGTAAATTCAAGAATAATATTCATTTTTAAGGTAGCTGGATAAAAATTCCCATTCTAATATTTATACTTAAAAAGTTCTTATTGTAACTTTAGAAGAAAATGATGATAGAGGTACAATTAATCCTTGGGATTAATTATCTAGCCTGCTGCAGAAACTTTAGTAGGCCTATCTTTATCTGCCATTTTAAGATTAAAATGAAAACCTTTGTATGCAACTGCTGTTTGCAGGTGATGAAGGTATCTTGTTGCATAGATAAGGGAAGCTGATGATAGAAAAGTTAAAGTCATCACATTTATCATAGAATTTGGTTGTTAGATTACCATTAATGTCTTTCAAGTAAAATATTCAAATATGAAACAGAATTGTGTCAAACGAAAGCAAATTTTTTAAGTATGTGAACTATTTCCCCATCAAGGTACATTGTCTATATTAGTATCATCTGATCAACAAATTGACACATTCTGTAAGTTCCTAAATTTAAAAAAAAAAGTCCCACACAATTTATTAATTTTGGCTGTCGCTGTACTTTCATATAATCCTCAAAATTTATAATGAAAATATACACAAGAGTGAAATTTTCAACAGCAGGCAGTCTTAATTAATTAAGGTAATCTGATCCTCAGGTTCATAAAATTAACAGTTAAGGTAGATCACGGGTTGGCTGACGTCACAACTGGATTCGACGTAAAAAGCTTACTACGTTTACAGTATCAAAATACAAACAAGCAAAAAGTATTTCCATCAGTATGCATCATAAAATAAAACAAACATTAAAGCTTGTTTTGTTTGTAAAAATATTTATTTATAATGCAATAAAAAATTAATCAATAAAAAATAAAGGATTAATCAATATCTAATCAATACTAAATTAAATTAAGTGTTATAATGACGTCGCACTAACGTTATATAACGTCTTAATGAAATTATATAATTTATGTTTGTTACAAATTTGTAAAACTTGAAACTTTTTTTGCGAGAAAATGAGCGAGAACACCTATTAATTTTTTTTTAATAGGTCGATTCGAAATTTATCTCACATTCATCGCGTTGAGTAATATAAAATTCGTCTGCGGCGTTTTCATATTATAAGCATGGTTTTGAAATGCGTTTACCGGTGAGAAAGGCGCATTTACTATATATTTCATTGTTATAGCTTCACCAGTTCTCATCAACATTAGTGCCTTTGAAAGACGATAACAATATAACCACGCAGACGAATCTCACAAAAATTTCAGAAAGTAAAATTTAAATCGAGAGGATTGAGTTGACAAATTTTCGGAGAATGTTTTCAGGCAGACAGTAAACCCGTGATCTACCTTAAGTAATTGAAAATACTCATAAAAATATCTCTGAATCCAAAAAGTAATGTAAATTTGCCCACAGTTTTTCTTTAAAGTTAAACATTAAAGTTAATCATGTTATATATGGAAAATTATCCAATCTCCAATATTTACAAAAAGTGAATAGGAATATCAGTTATACATTTTGTATTTGAAAATTGATCAAAAAATATATTTTAGGTTAAAAAACAATAGGTATCCAAGCATTCAGAGAAAGTGCCATGATTTTTTGATCAAAATTTGTCCATTGTCTGTCATAGTTGTTGTGGTCGTCGTTGTAAACTTTTCATATTTACATCTTCTTCTCAAGAACCACTGAGCAAATTTCAACCAAACTTGGCATAAAGTATCCTTGAGTGAAGGGGATTCAAGTTTATTTAAACGAAGGGCCAATCCCTATTCAAAGGGGAGAGAATTCTGAATTAATGAAAAATTTATGGCGTCTTTTAAAATTCTTATTCACCATAACCACTGGGCCAGGAAAGATGAAACTCATGTGGCAGCATCTTCAGGTAGTGCAAATTCAAGTTTGTTCAAATCATGACCCTCGGGGGTAGGGCAGGGACACATTGGCTAAGTTTACATAGGAATACATAGGATAATTCTTCTTCTTCAGAACCATTAAACCAGGAAAGTTGAAACTCACGTGGAAGCATCCTCAGGTAGTGTAGATCCAAGTATGTTCAAATCATGACCCCACAGGGGTATAGGGCTGGGCCACAATGGCTGATCAAAGTTTAACATACTAGGTATATATATGAAAAATCTAAATGTTTAAAAATCTTATTCTTCAGAACCACTGCGCCAGGAAAGGTGAAACTCATGTGAAAGCATCCTCAGGAAGTGTAGATTCAAGTTTTTTTTTTCAAATCATAACCCCCAAGTGTGGGGCGGGGCCACAATGACTGATCAAAAATTTACATATTGGAGAATGCTTCTTCTTCAGAACCATTTAACCAGGACCAGGAAAGATTAAACACAGAAGCATCCTCAGGTAGTGTAGAATCAAGTTTGTACAAATCATGACCCCTGGGGTATGGCGGGGCCATAATGGCTGATCAAAGTTTTACATAGGAATATATAGGAAAAATTTTCTTCTCAAGTCAAGATCAGCAAAGTTAGGATTGGGAATATTAAAATGGAAACATCTTGAGTTTGATTTAATTCAGGTTTGTTCATATCATAACCCCTGGGGGCGAGATGGGGCCATAATGGGCAATCAAATCTTTACATAAATATATAAAGGAAAAATCTTTAAAACTCTTCTTCTCAAGTATAGCAAAATTATACATACACACCTTAATGATATAGTGGCATTCTCTAGTAATAAAAAATTCATATTCTCCCTCCCCCAGCAAGTAAACTTTTCTATACTGGCGTCGGTAGTCCAGTGGTTAAGGTGCCGGACTCCAAACCGAAAGGTTGTGAGTTCGAATCCAGGCCGCGACAAGCCGACGTTGTGTCCTTGGGAAAGGCACTTTACACGAATTTCCTCACTCCACCCAAGTGTAAAAGGGGTACCTGGCTATAGACAGTGAAAGATATTGTCAGAATGTTAGTGTTCTAGCGCTGATAACGGCAGCTTGCACTGAGAAAGATTCTGGATTGTTAAGGTCTGCTGGGGTAATAATGCATTGTAAAGCGCTTTGAGTAGCATTTATGCTAGAAAGGCGCTATATAAATACAATCATTATTATTATTATTATTATACTGAGCTTACTTGTTTTTTAACTAGCCCATGTGTTCAGGCGAGCGATGTGGCCCATGGGCCTCTTATTCTTTGTCTTCTATTTCCTTCATGTATTATATAATACACTGTGTTAAATGTTTTTGCAACCATTGCAAGACATCACAAATCTCTTCTTATTTCATATCATGCTAAATAGCATTGGTATCTAAGGCTCAATTCAAAAAAGTCTTATTTCTCTAAAACTGTATTGATTTCTTTCCTTTTATTAGGTAAAATTGTCAATTTTTCAAAAGACCCTTTATAGGACTTCCAAAAACCTTGAATCATATCAAAATGAATAAAATAAAAATTGTTGCATGAAAAAAATTCATTTTCAAGCTGCAGAATAATGCATTTTGAATTAAATATTGATTTTTGGAGTTATCCTTCCTGGCTGAGGATTGGATGTTCTTGTAGCTTAAAAAAGATTTACTGTAAGCAACATCAATGGTCAGGATATAAAAGTGAGCTCAGATGCAATTCATTTTTTGAGTTGGCTCGCATAGCGAGCTACTCCCTGTCGACATGGCCGTTTCAGAGCTGTAAAATTTTTCACGCATTCATCAAGGTGATCCATACGCCAAATATAATAGTTCTAGCAAAAAATGCTTTGGTTTGAGTGATTGTATAAACTTAAGAGGTAAAAACTGTATAAAATTTCATACTGTAACATTATTTTTGCCTCATATGCTTTTAAAGAAAGTTTTGATTAAATACCTGTTTGATGTAAAATTACTGCGTATGAATATATTGTTCAAGCATGTTAAGCGGATCTAATCTTCCCATCTGAAGTTTATTCATAATTGACCTAGAATACTCCCTAACACAAACACCTGATGCTCTCATTAGCTGCAGCTAGTTGATGTTGAAAATCTATTTTTAGAATCCAGATTTGCTGTGGGAATCTTTAACCTA